AAGGTCATAACTAGAAGAGATAATTGTTTACTTTATTTCTTTATTTACTGTTCTATGTTTTAGGGAAAATATGTTTAAGAACTTATTTCAAAACAGCAATAATCTATATACATATATAATGTATAATAATTGAAATGTGACTGTATTTTAGAAAATACTAGTTGACTAAACACAGCCAAGACAAGTTACTTTGTACAGACTAAAGGTCAGTTTTATGTTATTTGATATGGTAACATGAGTGCATGTGAGCTGCATCATTGTAACTTCTGTATTATTAGCCAGGTATGGGTGAAAGGTCAATATAATAAAAATAGTAAATATATATAAATGTACAATGTTATGAGATTTAAGCTATTTCATCTAAACATTTATGTTTTTGTGTTATAATATGGGTTCATTCTAGAATTAAAAAAGGCATAATTTATATTTATTTCCTAATTTTTTATGGTGGTTGAGAGATCATTCAAGTCTATCAAACCTGTACAGAGATTAATTACTGAAAATAACAGATAGAATATAAAGTTTTTTTCATAAGAAACATTTGATAACTATCCCGACATTATAAAGATTTCGCATTTGAAATTTCAAAATTTTCTTATGCATAAAAATATTTTTAATCGTAAAAAGAAAACTACTTTGCATGATCGATAGGCAAGATGTGAAAAGAAAAGAAAAAACATGAGAGAAACATTGCATTCTTTTTGTAAAGTAGTAGTATTCTCCTTAAAGCCATCAACACCCAGAACTTTAATGTCATCAGTAATCTTAAATAATCTATTGACCATTCCTTCATCTATGTCAGTGATATAAATTAATGAAAACAAAGGTCCCAACACTGAGCTATAAGTTATCCCACTCCTGAAATTAATTCAGTTTCACTGAATTCAGTTTATAACCCTCTTCTTTCTTCCATCTCTCTAGTAAGCCAACCTATCCCTGAAACCCACAGAGATAATAATTTTTTAAGTTTTTAACAAGACTTGTATGTGGCATCTTGTCAAATGCTTTCTGAAATTCCAGATACACCACATTCACACCCGTACCCTCATTGATAAGCAGTAACCTCTTCAAAGAATGTCAGAAGATTAGTAAGGTAAGATTTCTCCCTGATTGAACCATGTTAATTATCAAACAAAATTTTAAACTTCGTTAAATGAATTTGCAAAGCATCTTTTATTAGATTCAAAAGCTTTTCTCACTGCTAATGTAAGACTAATAGGCCTATAATTAATGGGATGGAAAATAAAATTACCCAACTTCCAATATTCTGGCACCTGTACTCTATTCAAGGAATTAGAAAAAATAGTAGCAAGTGGCTCACATATCCAATCCTTAACCTCTTTCAAAACCCTTGGGTAAATATTATCTGGCCCAGAAGCATTATGATTTTTTAAACTTTACAATTTTTTTCTTAACAAGCTCCAAATTAATGTGATCAGTTTGTTCAACCTTGTTTCCATCAAGCAACTGTTTAGGATGTGGAATATTGCTTAAAATCTTCATTAGTGAAAGTTGAAGAAAAAATAGAATTTCATAACCCAGTCATCCCATAATAAACAGATATTAACCTTCCTGTATCATCCCTCAAACGACATACTACCATTCTAACATTTTGCTTACCCTTAATGTATTTAAAGAAATCCTCACTGTTAAATTTTACACTTTCAGGTAACTTTTTAACACATATTTGTGATTTTCTAATTTCCCATTGGACCAACTCTGTTGATTTTTTGTATAATCCTACAACTCTTTCATCATTGCAATCAATTTAATCTTCTGTTTATAACATTTTAATATTGTTATTTATACCCTTTGTGAATCAACCTGGTTTTTTTACTTGCAGCCACCCCCTTTTTTTTTGTCTATAAGGAACATGCTTATCTTGAATATCTAATCATTTAATTTTTCCCCATTTGATCATTATTTCCAACTAATTCAGTTGCCCAACTCACAGCAGATAATTCTTGTGTAATCTCTTCAAAATTTGCATTTTTTAAACCTAGAACCAAAATTTATTATTCCTCATCTCCATATGCAAAAAAACATCAAATGTAATTGAGCAGTGATCACTTGGACTCAAATGTTTCCCATTCTCTACCCTATTGACCATTGCTTTATTAGAAGTTAACAACAGATCTAAAATAGCATGGTTCATAGTGGGATCCCTACTCACTTGTTGAAGAAAACCCTCCATCATGATTTGATTAACACTTTTCCAATCTATATACCTAAAATTAAAATATCCCACAATTATAACCTCATTAACAGTTCAGTTCTTCATCTTACTGTAGAGTTTCTCATGAATTTCACCTGGTGGTCTTTAGTAAGTTCCAACTAAAAGCCTTTTCCCCTTATAACCACTAACAGAAACCCAAATAGATTCAACCTCATTGCTATTAGCTTTGATATCATCAACTTGAACAGGATGTAACTCACATTTTACATATAAAACCACTCCTCTCTCTTTCTAAGTACTCTATCCTTATTACACAGTCTATAACCTTACATTTCAAAGAAAGTCTTCTCATCAGAAATGTCTATGTTTAGCCAGGTTTTAGCTATTTGTATTATATCAAAATCCTCTGTTCTCACCAGAGCTCTAAAATGATCCATTTTATTTCTTGTACTTCTAGCAGTAAAATAATAATAGTTTAGCCTACTATTAAAACTACCTTTGTACCTAAACCCGTCTCTGCATCTAATTCTTTTTTCATTATTCTAGTCCTTTCAATGGTTTTACCACTGTGTAAAGTTGCCCTTATAGTTGAGAGTTGTTTGTTTGTAGTTAAGCGCAAAGCTACACATTGGGCTATCTGTGCTGTGCCCACCACAGAGGCCTGGCCTAGTGGTTAAGGTGCTTGACTCACAATATGAGTATTACGGATTCGAATTCTTATCGTCAAACATGCTTGCCCTTTAAGCTATGGAGTGTTATAATATATTGATAAAAGAGTGACCGAAGAGTTGGCGGTGGGTGTTGTTGACTAGCTGCCTTCCCTCTAGTTTATCACTGCTACATTAAGGACAGCTAGTGCAGATAGCCCTCATGTAGCTTTGCGAGAAATTCATGTTAAATCAAACCCACCATGGGTATTGAAACTGGATTTATAATGTTATAAGTCCACAGACTTTCTGCTGTCCACTGGGGGCTATAGTTGAGTTAACAGCCCTTGTAAACAAGCCAGATCCTACACTATTTAAATATAAACCATTCATTCCAAAAAGCTCCCTTTTCCCACTGAACTGATCTCACAAATCCAACCAGCCAATCTGCTCCTTACATATTAACCTAAGCCTAACATTCAACTCTTAACCCTTCACTGTAGCTGGGATGTATATATTTCCCAATGCACTAGGAAATATACATCCCAGCTTCAATGAAATGGTTAAATACCTACTTATTGTTTCATTCCCACAGTTAAGTCTTGGTAACATTCTTGACAAAATTAAGCTATTATGGCCCCTTTTTGTTTGAATGCCTTGTACTTAACAATAGGCTTCTCTGACCTATCCTCCTCTACACCATTAGCCCCTATGTGCACTACAAAGACTGCATTACTGTGAGCACCTTTTACTATATCCTTTGCTCTGTCAGCTGTTTTCTCTACCTCTGCTTCTGGATAGCATAATCTAATTTTTTCCCCTATTTACCTCACAGACTATCTCGTCCACATGCCATACTATAACATCATTATGTATTTCATTCCCATCCCTAAATGTCCCTGCAGATAGCTCTCGTGTAGCTTTGCACGAAATTCAAACCAAACTATCTGTCCCTTTTGTTATCTTTCTCTTCTCAAGTTCATTATCTGCATAAGCTAAAGGCTGAAATATGTTGCTTAATAGAACCTGCTTATTATAATTCAATACACTACTACTAGACCTATTGATGTGTTTGTTTATATAATGCAAGAGAAGGAAAAAAATTGAACAGTTGTTCTCAGTTGCTTCTGAGCAAGCATTAAGGATATTCTAATCAATTTCCAGTGTCCCATTTGTATTTAGAACATCTGCGTAGATATAAATATAAATTTAGGCAGAGTAGGAGTCATCTTCAGCTGAGACAGTTTTATTTTTCTAACAGGGTGGTTGGCTTTTGAAATAATTTGCCCTTGGATGTTGTAGAGGCAGTAAATTTAAGTGAGTTAAGAGAAAGCTTAAGAAGTATATGAATATTAAAGGCTGACTTTAAGATTTTTTTTATAATAGTTTTAGTTTAGTTTAGAGGATGGGACAGCCAAGATGGACCAATAGGTCCCATGTAGTCCCAAAACATTGTTATGTTAAGTACCTTTATGAAATTGGTACCAAACTGCATTCATTGACCTATTTTATATCAGTTTTACACAGTTTTTAAATACAACTGATAGTTTTTGACTCTTTATCTTATGTGTATATAATTATTAATGTTTGATTCAACAACATTCAAATGTACATTTACTAGTAGTGAATATGCTTCTGTATCAATAAAGTTTTCCAAAATATATATCAACCATGTTTTTTTACTTAACCAACTAAATAAGCATATAACACTGTGAATAATTTACTGCACACAATATTATCTTTGATATGTTATTGAAACTACAGAGTGGTGCAAAATTCATTCCTCCCCAGGCTTTTTCTTAGTCATGTTTGTGTTTCAACAGTTGCCTTTTTGTTTGTTTCTTGAATTGGTTGGGATGTTAAGAACATGTGGAAGTGATCCTATTGTAACACTGTGTCATGATACCAACAGTGCCCAATTCAAACATCTAATATAAGGGAAGGACTTGAAAAAAATCATGGTGGAACACAACTTTTGTATCATCTTGTATAATTATAAGTAGAACATAGTTTACTTGGGAAGCCATCAGTTTTGGAGTTATTGTTTATTGTTAATCATAATTATATTTCATACATTCACTGTTATGTGTATATTTGTTTGAGAATAATAAATATTCAAATTGTTGCTGATCAATCAGTAATCTTCAGATCACAGGTCCACAGCACAATCTGCATCTGAACTGATGAGGCCTTATTTGCATGAATTTCTAACATCAGCTCATGAAGATTATGATATTGTCATTTGGTGTAAGTACACTTTATTGATTTAATTTTACAAGCTACAGGAGCAGACTCAATAGTGAATATTATATTTTATCTGTCCAGTGAAACTTAAAAATCTACATTATTTAACTTAGGTCATATGATTTTTGTAATGTTTATGTTAATAATTGTTAGTTTAATTTTGGCAGTTATCATCATGGTAAGATTGTTTTGTCTAATTCATATCTTAGGTCCTTGAATTTTTATTTCTAAAGAAATAGCAATGACATTTTAATGAAAGCTTTTATGTATGTTGAGTTAACATTTGAGAGAAATGCAATATTTCTATATTTGTTTAAAAAAAATATGTAAAGAATTATTGAAAAAATTATAAATGCAATTAATAAGGATATTGTGAATTTCATGTAGAATCAACCAAATAACAGAAAGATATTCTGCCTGTTGAATTTCAAAACAAAATATCTAGTCATCTATTTCTACTCAGAATAATAAATACCTTAACCACTATGTTTTTCAACATTTATAATAAACATGCATGAAATCAACAATTAAATTATAAAACATTATTAATTTGCTTAAGGATTAACCCTATCTGCACAAGTGGGTCAAATTGCATGTCAGGACATATCTTACAGTTACATTCAAAATTTAATTAAAGAACTTTATTGTTAATGTTTATCAACAATTTAGGCACCAAAATGTACTTTGTAATTCAAATTTAAATATTATATTAAATTAAATTTATTAATTTCAAAAAGAAACATTTAACTAGATTCTCAATCTTTACTTCTGTATCTCATGATGATTCCTTGGTCAGAATTGCCCTTTTAAATTTTTTTCTATCCTTATATGATCTTCTGAGTATGTCACCAATTACACACTTATATTATAGATGTTTCTAAGCTGTAATACAAATTAATAGCCCCCTAGCTTCTTGCTTTACTGTGATATAAACAAAAAGCCAAATCCATATGTCACACCCATCCTATCTCATTCTTTCTTTCAAAAAATCTGAATAATTCTCTCTGTCATTTGTTTTTAGATTGTTTATAAACAATAGAAAGAGCAGATTGTTTTTTAAAAGATTTATTTGGAAATTAGCTCATTTAGACACCAGGTTAGGAAATATTTAGCCTGAGTTTTATTGTTTGCTTCTGTGGTGTTTGGCTCAACCAACTAATAGAATTGATTTGACCTATTTATAGCTTATTTAGAAAGCCAGTTAAATTATAGTGGTAAAAGAATGTTCCATTTTCCAAAATATAGTTACCTTCTCCCATACTACAGCTACCACTTGACTGTCAGGGTTTCTTTCTTTGACCATCTAAGCATTGGTCTGATTTTTTCTCACTTGCTCCAGTCTTTTATACCCCACTTAATTGCCCTTGGCAATATTTGTCTCGTGAGACTCTCCACCTTTGTCAATGTGCCGTCCATCCTGGTACTGTATATGAGTACCTCATTCAGATGATGTTATAACTTTTTCTCAACAAAGCATTCACTAATGGGTTTCTATGTGTTACGATCCTTAGGAGATACTTGCTCTAGTCTTTTATACCACACTTAATTGCCCCTTGGCGATATTTGTCTTGTGTCACTCTTCACCTATGTCAAAGAATATATCTGCTCCTAGAAATTAGTGGTTCTAGAGTGGACTCTGTAGTTAACCTGAATAGATCAATGCCTCCTGGTGGGACAGTGGTAACTCTATGGACTTACAACTCTAAAGTCTAAAATGTTGTTTTTCTAAAACTAAACGTTGTTGAAAGGCTTTCAGGATCACCAAATCCATTGATGATGAGCTGGACCCATTGTTAGTATGCACATTGGTTCGATTGTCGGCTTCTATGTTCATCCCTGTTGTTGTTGGGGCCTTGACTGTCATCAGCTCCTACAGGAGGTCAGTTCCACTCCCTATTTGAGAGTCCTGACCCCTGACATCACCCCTTGATCCATTGATACCCAGAATAGACTTTGTTCATATCTAAGAGTTCTGCTGCTCAGTTGGAATGCTGCCAGCAGTATCAGGGTATGTGGGGGCTCAGCTCTGGGAGTTTCTGGATAGTGGTAAACCTTAACCATGGATCCATGGGCACTACAGGTCCTTGAGTCAAGATTAGTCATTCAGTTCACATCTTCATCACCATTATCCATCCAACCTGTAGGGTTTCTGTCTCCTGCAGATCCTCGGGTTTCAAAACTTATTTCTAGGGCTATCAGAGTTTGGTTGGTCTGGGGGTAGAGAGAGAGTCATGCCAGTTCTTCCAGGATTTTATTTCCTTTGGTTTGTTTGGCGGAAGAAGACAGGAGATTGGTGTTCAGTCAACGATTTCTCTCGTCTATATCAATTCTTAGATTCTCCAAGGTTCACAAGTCATTCATTCCTCTCTCTGAGTTGGCATTCTTTACTAGGATTGTGGATGTCCATGTTTGATGTAGTCATCTCCTACCTGCACATAGCCATAGTGGTGACATCCCACCACTATTAGTATTTTTTGTGTACAAGGGTCACGTACTGCAATTTGGGGTTTTTACCCTCTGACCACATGAGTTCTCCCGAGTCATACGAGCATTTTCTCATCACCTCCATTCCCTAATCCTGTGCGCACACTATTTCATAGATGACTGGTTACTGCTGGTACCATCTCATCAATTGTCAGAACGTCACACTCGGATTCTACTTTCAAAAACAACCAAGGCAGGCTTCATTCTCAGAGATGAGACATCTATACTTGCTCTAACTCAACATTTCATCAGTCTAGGTAATTTTGTCATAACATATTTCAATTGAGCTCACCCAACTCCCATCCGGCTCCATGCTTTGAAACAGGAAACCCAACTTTTATTCACCTCTCCTTCTCCCACTGCACAGGTTGTTCTTTCTCTTTTGGGAATATGCTCATCAATCAATTCGCTCATGCTTTTGGGATGAGCACACAAGAGATCCTTTCAAAGGTCTTTATGCAACCAAAAGATCATCAATATTGATCACTGGCTTCTCCAGCATCCTTATTCAGGATCATTCCTCGATCTTGAGGGAATGTTAGATAGGGACAATACTAAGATGTGGGTTCCTATGCCACCACCTCAACTAGAGATCCATCTCTTCACAAATGCCTCGCTTCAGAGATGGGGTGCATATCTTAACAGTAAGGAATTCCATTGTCTGTGCACAGATGATGAGGCTTCGCTACACAATGTTTTAAACCTTCTTTTTACCTGGCTCTTTGGCTAGAGTTTTGCATCTTCCACAATCACCCTGTATAAGGCAGCCTTAACAACTACCTTTCGGTACTTGAGACAAAAAATTCTTTGAGCCTCCCAGTACTTTCCAGCTTCCCCAAGTTGCTTTGGGTCCTTTGTCCCAAATGACCATTCCAGTTACTTAACTGGTATATTAAGGTTACATTATGTGCCCTTTCTCAACACCCATTGTAACCTTAGTCTCATGTGCTGTGTATCACTTTTCTCTGAAGGTTTATTTTTTATTACTGCTGACCTACAGACATTGCCAGTCAGAGAGTTTTATGTTGATTGGGCACAGGAAGCTTTACCATTCTACCTACATCCTAAGACTGGTTCTTCTTCTCTAAGACACTGTCAGACAGGGAAGATGATAAATCCTTTTCACCAATTCATCTGATCACTATTTCTCTATTTTATGACCAATCAGATTTGGATAATTTGTTAGGTACAGTGAGGGTCTTGAAGGTTTTATTGCTCACACTAATGCCTTCAGTGATGCTTGTCAAACACTAATTTATTTATTTGGATCAATCAGTTTCCCAGGATTTATCTCCAATTACATTGATGAGGTGGGTACAAAATTCGTCCATATCGCTTATTGTAGGTTCTCTTTGAAGGCAAGAGTCTTCTGTGAGTCACGTTTAACCAGATTCATCACATTTCTATGTCCTTAGCAGCCCAGATGAATTGCTCGCTGGAGGACATAGTGTGGGATAGTATGTGGACTTCCCCCAATACTTTTGTCTCGCATTATTTGCAAGATCTTCATCTGAGGGTTTTTGACTACCCTTTGTAGCTATCTTAACCACTTCTGCTACATTATTTGGAGGGGTGAGTATTTTCATTGCTACTCATGTCTCTACTTTATGTTTCAGGGTCTCTTAGCTCATTTTCACAGGATCCCACTCTGTGATGAGTGTTGCCCAGGCAGGTGTGCTTTTATCAAATTAATTCTGCACTAGCAACCACTAATTCAATATACTTTATCTAGGTTGCAACAGGCAGGGCCAGATTAAGGTGGGTGCTGGTGGAGCTGTAGCTCCAGGCCCACCATGCTATTAAAAAAAAGACATGCATTAGAAAATATACAAATTCCTGCATCAATAATGAGTTTACCATTTTTAAACACGTGACTGAGACATATACACAATTTCAAATGATCCCTTAACCCTTTTGCTACGAATAGGTAAAAGTGTATGTCGTGGTATTTTACAGTTACATTCAAAATTTAATTAAACTAATTTATTATCAATGTATATCAATAAAGTTGGTATTAAACATAATTTATAGATCAAATTTTAATAACATAAAACTATCAATTTCATATTTTTTAAAGTGTATATATATTTATATATAAATAAAAATGCCAAGCTTCATTCTCTGTATATCGCATACAACCTTTAAGTCTAAACTATTTATTTCAACATTTTATGCTACCTTCTAAGGCCTGTAATTTTCTGTGGGATTTTACACTTACTTATATATATATTTGCCACTGATACAGCTTTTGCTTTATGGAGATATCAGCAATAAAGTACTGGTCAAATGCCATGCCTTCCATTGAGCATCCTGTTTTCAAAACTTGTAGTAAATTCTCTCTGATGTTTGCTATTGTATTATTTATAACCAATATAAGGCGGAAGTTTCATGGAACTGACAGCTATAGGGTCTAAAGATTTGTGACAGTGGAATAATAATTTGGACATCTGAGTGCCATTTCCTTCAATCTTGCTGTTGGGGGCTCTACTTGACCTGGTATGGAAATAATTTTAAGCCAT